TCGAAATAGAAGTAATCCCAACAACTATGAAACAAGAGATTCCTCGAAACCCAACTTTTCTTCATATATATCCTTATGATCAAATATTTCGACTACATATAAAATCTCCGCTCTCACCTCTTCTGGCAAATTAGAACATAAAACGAACTGAAATGACTAATTAGAAATTAAATCGTATGAGTCACCGCAGCAATTGAGTACCCTGATAGCTATTTTGCATTTTGTCAAATAGTTAGGAGCAATCGAAGATATGAAGATCAAGATGGTGCGGTCTTTTGTGTGGTCGCAGTATCCTTTCGTTGTATACAAGTTGTTTGACCTTGTTTTCGCAACTTGGTCATATTGTTAGGAAGACTTAGAAGAACGCACACTACATTTAAATAAGCAAGGTAAAAAATTGCGACAGTGAAGGCGTGATACGAGGATATAGGATATGTGAATAGCCCAGAACAGGAAAGATACCACAACTGTTTAGCACACGTTTGGTCAAAGGATCGGCTTCACTTGTCTCTTTGACGAGTTGTTGAATGGTGCTAGGAATCGCAAAACTCACTGATGATGTCGACTACGATGCCGGCGAAACGTCTGGGAATGTACCGCGTCCACAGTTCTTCTCTGGAAATGATGATGCATACAATGGACTCCGGACAAGGTGCGTTTCTCTAAGTCTTTCTACCAAGTTGCGAAAACAAGATCAAACAACTTCTAGTTTGCAGTACTTTAAAAAATTTTTGAATTCAGAACCAGTTTCCAAAAGTTTCATCGATAGCATAGTCGGCATGGTTCGTCACCCTCAGTGAGCCTTGCTGGTCTTAGAACCAAGCTGCAATTTGTCAAATGGACCAGCTTTCTGCCGAACGGCTATGTTATAACTCTTATCCTACCCACTATCTCCGTATCTCATTCACTCGCTATCACAACGTCTAACATGTTTTTACTTGAAACATGTTACCCTCTATGGTGAGTTTAGTGAATATGCATTAGCACATCTTCATGTTTACTATGCTCCCCCTCTCACCCTCGAATTTCCGGAATCGCGGACCCGACTTGAACCTCCTCTCCGAATCTCCCTCACACTTCAGGAGATCATTTCCTCATCCTACTGACTGATTGATTTTACTCTACTTAACCTATATCCTATGTAGCTTGGTGCTAAGACTAGCAATAGTTACTAGCTA